TAAAATTTATTTATTTAAAAAATGATAAACGTTAATTTTTATTTTAATGTCATTCTTATATGAATAGTATAACTTCACATGCCATACCAATAATTTGTTGTTTCGAATGGAATGAATTCGGTTATCTTTAAATAAGATTTTGAGTTTGAATTTTATAAATAAGAAACAAGCGTTGGGAAAGTTTTCCTCAAACGAGGTTCGATGTGATTCGATTTCGAATTAATTGGGTTCCAATATAATAACTGAATACTAAAAGATTAGCACAAAAAAAAAAAAATCTTTACATGTCATTTTAATAATTTAGAAATATTATTTTTATATAATTTTACTTGTTATTTAAATGATTAATTTTTTTTATTCATTTGAAATTTATGATATTAAATGATCAATTTATTTAATAACATGCATAAATTATATAAAAAAATTATCTCTATATATTATTTTAGTTTTAATTAACCAATTGATTAAATTCAAATTAATTTTTATCATTCTTTTATAGATTAATTGTAAAAAGAATGATAAAAATTAATTTGAATTTAATCAATTGGTTAATTAAAACTAAAATTATCTCTATATATTATTTTAGTTTTAATTAACCAATTGATTAAATTCAAATTAATTTTTATCATTCTTTTATAGATTAATTGTAAAAAAATACATTTATTATATTTTTATCTTGTATTTAAAGATACAAAATAAAAAGATCTTTCAAAATATTTACATGTAAATTAATTTTTATTTATTAAATAATAAATATAAATTATTTTATCAATTATTAATTATTTTGAATATTAAATTAATAAATTATCAATTAAAATCACGTGACATTAACAAAAATTAGTGTCATCATAACCACAACCCTCACAACTTGAGAGTCACTTTCAAATTATGTTTTTGAACAAGTGCAACTGCAATTTTTTGTTTGGTTTTTTGGTAGTTAAGTTGAAAGTTCTTTATTTTTTAATTGTATTAAATTATAAAGTATAAATTATTAGATGAGAAAATAATTATTAATATTAGAAGTTTATCTTTTATTTAATAAATTAAATTATATAATTTAATACAATTCATATTGTACAATATTTTTTTGTTAAGTTGAATTATTATATTGAAATACTAGTAGTATATTAATACTTTTAGCTAAAAACTGATAAAAAAATTATTTTTAAATTAATATTTAAAATAAAATAAATTACATAATTAATAAATTATTTATTAAATTTAACCTCTTCTTTTTTAAAAGAGATATAACTCTAACCAAGGAACAAAAACCCGGTCTCCTGATCTCTTTCGTTTCTTTCTATGCCGTGGTCAACCCGCCGGCGCATCACGCGTGCACAGCCCTCTGACCAGAGACTCCTCTCTGTTTTTCTGTCTCATACTTG